GTAGAAAGCCTCATCTTTCTCCCGTGGTGCAGCTGGTAGTTTCGAACCACTGACCTTAAGGTTCGCAGCCCGATTCGTAACCACTACGCTACCAGAGCTCCTTTAGATATAGATAGATATATATAAATATAAAAAATACAAGGGGGCATTGAAAAATTAGTGGAAAATTCCATTGTCTTTCAACTTCATTTTCCCATGGACGTTTGGAAGCCCCCTCACACGTATCTCCTCTGCCCCTGTGATCTATTCATGTGGTTATTGTTATAAAATTCTTCTGAATGCTCCACATGGCAGCAGAGAGACCTTTGGATGGCTCCATTTCAGTGTCTCTCAGTTCAGAGAGAAGAATGAGAGAAGGGGTCGAAGAAAACCTAGTGTCGGTTTTGCACCTGTTGTAGGCATCAGACCAAGCAGTGCCACGTATCCTGTCAAAAGGAGCCCAGAGAGGAACCTGGGGCATTCTTACCCTTTTCAATTTTCGGATAAAGAGAGTCAGTAGGAGCCAGAAGAGAGTTGCTGCCACACATGTACACGTCAGAGTGATCAGTTCCAGATTCGACTTATCCGAGGTTCCTGCAGAGAGAAGAGCATCAAGATAGGAATCAGAAAGAAATTCTCAAACCCAGGATACTTGTGGCTTTCTAGAAGATACCCAATGCCTCTAGCTGGGCCATCAGCGTCAGACTCGACCCTGCAAGGCACAAACACCATCCTGGGGGACAGGGCTAGTCTGCTGTGTGGAGCCAAGGGGTCCCACACCTAACAACACAAGCTCTCTTTAGGAACTCAAAACTTACAGCCCAAGAGAGTCCACACACATTGGTGGCTGTGTCTGCACACCTGGTGATCCCAGAGAGAACCCATTAGGAGTCAGAGGAGAAATTAGAAATGTTAAAAATGGGGGAACAAATTAGGGAAGAAACAAAAGCCCATTCAAGGTGGTAAATCTGGATTCAGTGCGATTTTCCTAGTGGAACTTAGAGGAAAATTCTAAAGAAAAATAAAACAGTAACACCAAAAATGACATAAAAGGACTCCTTTGGGGCTCACCAAATTCTTCAAAGTAGATTTTAAAAATTAAAATATGACTCAAGGACAGTCACAAGTATCACTTTACTCCTTTTGGAGTGACCCATCCAAATTGCCTTCCTCCCGCTCCCGTGTCCAGGGCTCTGTTTCCAAACACATCAGCGCACAGCTGGTGGACAGACAGATGAGAAGGGGACTAAGTTACAGTCTTTGTGTTCATTCCCCAGAGTCCCCGAGATCAAAAGTTGAGCATTGTTCCTCCAAGATCAAAAAAGAGAAAAATCTCTGGGGTCCGCAAAGGAATCATGAGGTGAGCTTCCTACTTAGTGAGTTCCAGGGAGGCAATTTTCCAAGGATTTTAGTTAGAGTCATGCCCTTATTCTTCAACTTTATTAGAGGGAGACAGACATATTATGTTGGGCCAAGAGCAAGTGAAGCTTTCTAGAATGATCATGTGCATATTATGAACCTCTGTTGAGCTCTATCCTAGGTGGTTGGTGGCATTCGGATCTCCATTTCATGGGTAAACACATCATCTGTGGACACCGTTTTAATTCAGTAAAGATGCGGTAAGTCCCTATGACAGGCAAGATTAGGGGCTGGAGGAGGTAGGAAGAGGAGTGAGGGAAAATTCCCACACTCATGCGCACATTCCCTTACAAGGGTATTGCTGTTGCTATTAGGTGCCGTTGAGTTGGTTCTGACTCAGAGCAACTCTGCATATAGTTTCCAAGACTATAAATCTTTACATGAGAGCAGAAAACCTCATCTTTCTCCCAACCAAGAGACTTAGGCAAACACAACGAAATGAAAAAAGACGGGCCTTGGAGGACATTCAGGAAATGTGCTTTGTGGGGAAGGTCATATTTGAAATGGATTTTGCTCAGCTGAGAGGAAGGCTGAGAAGGTTGCCGCTGGACCGGGCACAGTTTCTTTCAGTCTGTTGTGCGTAACGGTCACTGTGAGTCAGTATCAACCTAACAACCTAACAACAACAAAAACCTCATTATGGTTTTGATTTGCATTTCCCCAACTACTATGGGCATTTATCATCCTTTCATATGCTTATTGGCCATTTGTATATCTTCTTTGGTGACATGCCCAGTTTTCAGTTGGGGGTCTTTGTTGTTTTTTTAGTTGAGCTGTAAGAATTCTTGATAAGGTCTGAAAATTAACTCTTGATTACATATTCAATTCTGAACTGAGGTGTATGTTCAAAGTTCTGTGAAACAGAAGGTTGGATATTGGTTCTCTTGTTCACAATGACATCTCCATTGCTTAAAAGACTGCTGGCATGTCATGCTGTTGTTGTTGTTAAGTGCCATCGAGTCGGTTCTGACCCATAGCGACCCTGTACAGGGTTTCCGAGGGTGTAAATCTTTACAGGAGTAGAAAGCCTCATCTTTCTCCCGCAGAGCGGCTGGTAGTTTCGAACAGCTGACCTTAAGGTTCGCAGCCCGATTCGTAACCACTACTTTACCAGAGCTCCACTGGCATGTCATAGGCATCCTAAAAGTAGTTGTTGGAAGGATGAATCCTGCTACTCTTTCAGATTACGATGGTGTCTTTCCGAACTGCAACGATTTTGCTGAAAATGTCTCAAAGTATGATAAGCTTCATTCTCAGTAAACATCCCCAAGATGGGACAGATTCAAAAAGTTTGTGGAAAATGGAATGAAAAGATACTGACAAATTTTCACGAACTTTTTGAAGCCCCTTCGTACTGTAAGCTTAAGTTTGGAGTTTGGATTTCCTCCTCTACAGTGTGAGATCTGATGCTGCCTTGAACACACACACACACACACACACATACACACATCCTTGCTGATGCTGCAAATCTTCCTTGTGGAATCTGACTGGGACCTGTTGAGAGGCACAGTGGCCTTTGGTGGTTGGAGACAGCGATAGCATCGAGAGACACAGCCTGCAGAAAGTCTCTGCAGATGCTTCCCTGATGGAATGTCCTGAGAGAGGCCCCCTCTGATTGTGAGAACTTTCCCACTGCATTCCACGGGCAGGAAGCTGACCCCCAAAGTCTAATTCCATAGGCCTTACTCAAGCAACATTCCTTCCAGTGGGACCCAATGTGTTTGTGTGTAAAGACTTACATATTTAAGGAATCGTATGATAGATTGAAAAAAAAAAAATCTTCAAGTTGAAAATTTACTAAGAGGGAAAGAAAGAAATATTTGACTATACTAATGCTCACTGAAAATAATGATGATAATTTGAGAGTATCTATTATACTATCTATGCCCTAGCTCTCTCATTAAAAACACTTTGTAATGATAACTTTGGTGAAAATATATGTACCACAGGACATACACCTATTCATCAGTTGTGTATGTACAGTTCAATAACACTGGGTCCATGCTGACCCAACAAGCTATGGTTTTTCCACGTGCCTCATACACATGCAAAAGCTGGATATTGAAGGAGGAGGACTGAAGAAGAACTGATGCCTTTGAATCATGGTTTTGGTGAAGAAATGAACTATACATACCATAGACTTCCAGAAGTATCAACAGATCTGTGCTTGAGAAGCACCACCCGAAGTTTCCTTAGAAGCGAAGATAGGGAGACTTAGTCTCATTTTCTTCAGACATGTTATTAGGAGGGACCAGTCCCTGGAGAAGGGCTTCATGCTTGGTAAAGTAGAGGGTCAGCAATACAGAGGAAGACCCCCAATGAGATGGATTGGCACAGTGGCTTCAGCAATGGATTTAAACAGAGGAATGGTTGAGGTTGGCACAAGATTGGGCAGTGTTTCATTCTATTTGGGTCACTAGAAGTTGGATCTAACTTGATGGTACTTCAAACAACACACGCTTCACTTCACAGTGTGTTACCACTTTCGTGGCCTCTACCCAGACTGTTTCACCCCCAATGACTTGGACTCATTGCCCCCCATACTTGTCTGTGTTTTAAGAGTATGCTGACAAGTTGAGCTCATGCAGATATTTCTTTAAAAGAGAGCTAGGTGCTCGTGATATACATTCTTTATTCAGTTATTTAGTTTGAAGGTGACATTCGGGAAAGATTTTCTCAGAGCAATAGATTCAGGGACCCTGCAGTCTCAGAGACTCCAGTAAGTCTGAATTCTATAAGAATTGAATTGTTTTTCTCTTTAGATTCGGATTCATCACTTGGGTCCTTGATCAAAATGTTCAGTAATAGTAGCCAGGCACCAACCAGCTCTCTGGTGTCATGGTTAAGGAGGTTCATGTTCACGAAGACAAGAGCTGCATCCAGTTACCTCTCAATCCATCCCATAGCTCAAACTCCATCACTATTTAAAAAGTCTTCAACTGAAGTCGCCAGCATCTCTTCTTAGAATGCCCTGGGATATTTTCTCAGAGGTCAGATAGCCACGAGCAGGCCTGACAAGAGTCAATTTCAACCTGGTGGTGAGCTCAGAGCATGAGGCAACACAGCTGCACATGGCTGAGCTGAGGAAGCAGGGGGCCATTATGTGGTGATATGTGGAAATAACTAGGAATTGATGCTGGGTCTCAGAGACACTCGTTCACAGGATGCATGTACAAGTCCAGCATCGGGGCGAAGTAAGAGTTTGTGTGCATATGGATCCTGATCGTGGTGGGACCTTTATTTCAGAGCACTGACCCTGTTGTACACAGTGTTCCATGTGGATTCCCCTTGCAGACATCCGTCATACCAGCCCCCTTGGGGAAGGGAAGCTGGTGAAGCCAGAAGATGACTTAGGTGCTAAAGGGTTGTATGCCTTGTCTAATGTCTGCAGAGCTGCAGTTCTGCCCTTGTCCTGTGTCTTTCTGATGATGGTGACAGCTTTCTCTGTACCTGGCAGGAACATGATGTCAGGCATGGGTTCCACAGTAGCTGTGTTGTTTTGCATTCCCAACAACAGCAAGTGAAGGTTCCAATGTCTCCACCTCTTTGTTGACACTTATTTTCCGATGATAACCAACCACCCTAGCAGGTGTGACATGGCCTCTCACTGTGGATTTGATTTGCATTTCCAATGACGAATGACATGCGGCATCTTTTCATTTGCTTCTTGGCCATTTGTATATTTTCTTTGGTGGAATATCCGTATTTTAATTGGCTTGTTTGTTATTTTTTTGCTGTTGTTGGGAGTTCTTTATATTCTAGTTATTAAGCCTTTATCATATTCGGACATATTGTCAAGAGGGATCAGTCGCTGGAGAAGGATATCATGTTTGGTAAGGTGGAGGGTCAGAGAAAAACAGGGAGACCCCCAGGGAGATGGATTGGCCAAGTGGCAACATTGATGGGCTCAAGCATGGCAACAATTGTGAGGTTGGCCCAGGATCGAGCAGTATTTCATTCTGTTGTGCACAGGATTGTTATGAGTAGGCACCAACTCGATGGCATCTAACAATAACAACAACAAGCCCTTATTAGACATATATATATATGGAGCTCTGGTAGCGTAGTGGTTACGAATCGGGCTGCGAACATTAAGGTCAGCGGTTCAAAACT